AAAACTTAAATGTCACTGGAGCTATTCCTGGTAACTTTGTCAATAGTACTCCCAGCTGACTAACAATCACAGTGAAATATGTACTGCTGAAGTTGTACCTAATTTATAAGGCAGTAGCTTCCATGAGAAAGAGTAAAAGAAAACTACTGTGACTCTATTTCTCCAGTGAAAAACTACTGAGGAAACTATAACAATAGGAAAATTGATGTCAACATGATAGTATCTCACTTCAAGAAATCAAAAACAAAAGAACTTACTAAATTTTTTCTAATTCAACTTTGTTTTTAAAGGGAAAAGAGAAGTAAAGAAAAAAAGGGCAGCCATGATAAGTTTTTTGTAGGATAAGCCACAACGTTAAGCTATATTTAACAGAAATAGATGTCTAAAGCACACATTTCTTCCTAAAAGAATGAAAATTTGTTCTTGGGGAACTAAAATATCATACTGATTTTATGTAAAGGTAAACATTGATGTGGTACATCTGTACATAAAATATATCTAGAGTATTAAAGTTTCATGGTGGGGATAATAATGAGAAAATTACTATACAGGCTCGGTAGGGACAGGATAATAAAAAATAGATTAAATAGGTTGAGAACACTAGTCTAAAATGAAGTGACACATTTTAATATCATAATATGTGAGAATATAAAAATATTTACTGTATGTATTATTTACAATAAAAATGACTTATCAGTTCATATTTTATTAATATAATTGATTAGAATAATGTAGAATATTTGGTTTTAAAAAGATGGTGCTATAAGAGAATGAATATTAATGCCTAGAGTGGAAGTCTGCAGCGTTTTAGAAATTACCCTGTTTCATAGGCGTTAGCATGAAAATTATCATTAAACATGCAAATTGAAATTGGACTCCATACAAACAAAGTGTTAAAATGAATTTATTGGATCAATAGGACCTGCCCAGTAGAAATGCTGAGAGATTTAATAGACTAGAGTCCATTTTATTTAGATTAATAGTTAAAACAACTTAAGCATTTTTATTAAATTGTGTTTTTGCCACCATTGAAGTACATGTAAACAACAAAAAGTTAATTATATGTTAATAACTTTTTAAAGTTTATCAGTACAAGTAAGTGATAGAATTATAAAGGAAAATAGAAATCTCATGATGATTAAAGTAACATTCAATCTGGAAGGTACAAACTTTTACCATCATCATTAGATATTTAGGGTCAATTATATTCCCATCTGTGCTTCAGGGACTGAACTGGCTGGTAATAAGGTATAAGATATGGTCTGTGCAAATCTTATAAATGTCAAGAGAAGAATAAAATTATGGTTTTACTGTTTGTATCTATTTTTTCATTGTTTATTTTAATAAATGCCCTTTAGTAGATATTTTTACATCTGGAAACATTCTTACATCTGGAAGAGGACAGTGCAGCAGGAGCCTATTTTAATCCTATGAAAATCTTGGAATACATCGTTTTTGCTCAGCCCTATGGTTTTTCTGTCTTATTTTTTTCTTCAGGGGCATAGTAGACTCTGGTGAGGAATTTGGTGTCAGATCCAGGACATGTTTTCTTACCCTCTTAGAGCAGTGATTTTCTTCTACCTTGCAATATATTTATCTGAAGTCAGCCTCATCAGAAAGTACATAGGGAAAATACTGTGACTCTATTTCTACAGGTAGAAACTGTGCTAAGGGAACTAAAGCAAAAAAGAAAATCCCTACTTCCTTTGCTATATTCCTCTTGAGGGCATTTTTATATTCCCTCTGATATCACACAGGCATTGTATATAGTAGATCAGCTATGACTTGAATGAATAATATAAAGAATAAAGTAACAATAAGAAATAATGTGCAGAGCATTTATTAATAATTAGGTATTGATAACAGAGGAAATTAAATTGTTCAAAGAGCTCAGGCATAAAGCAGATGGCTCACTTCTAAGCTGGGAATCAAAAAAATTTAAATCCTAGAATATTCATATCAAGAGGATCTTTCCAAGAATAAACCAGGAATACAATTAGGGGCTGACTCATAGATGACAATGGCTGATGAGTCACAAAGAAGTTTTGAAAAAGCAATCATGTCCCTGAGGACACATCGAATTGGAACTAGGATGCCAAGATCATGTATAGTAGCAAGATAATAGAAGGTGGAAAACTTTGGTCTCTATGAGGATGTGCACAGAAGTCCCGGAGCACAATACTTGTGTTTGAATTGTGCTACTCTAAATTATATAAAATATACTCTATAATGTAGTAAACAAAGATTCCTTTGTGCTAATGTCTAACATTTTATAGACATTTTACCTGCCACTGCTAACATAAGTGACTCGAGTATAGTTCTGTTGATTTATCTCCTGCTGAAAAAGCATTAATGACTTGACAATTCCTGAGGAATATCTCTTAGGATAGCCTTTCTGAGGCCAGGGACCCTGGATCTCAAGTAACAAGTGAAGTTCTAACATATAGGAAGTATTAAATACAGGCTGAATATCCCTTATCCAAAATGCTCAAGACCAGAAATATTTCAGATTTTTTATTTTTTTGGATTTTGGCATATTCGCAGCATACATACTGGCTGATCATTCCTAATCAGAAAAATCCAAAATCTGAAATGCTTCCACGAGCATTCCTTTCGAGCATCACATAGGTGCCTCCAAAGTTTCAAATTTTGAAACATTTCAAAATTTTGAGTAGAGATGCTCAACTTGCACGTTTGTCTTGAAAAATAAATGATGAATGGACTTCCAACTTTTAAACTGAATTTTTGTTCCTGATGTCTTTGCTAACATGAGTCTCTCATTCTATCTCTGTCCACAAGTTCAATTTTTAAACCATGCTTCAAGGTTTAGGTCAAACGCCACTCCTGTCGTAATGCTTCCTTAAGTCTTATAGAAGAAATTAGTGCTTCCTCCTCTGTTTCCATAATTTAATTTATTTCTCAGATGTACTTACCATATTCCACCTTGCATGATAGCTGATGTGAGTGTATGTTTTTATCCAACGAGATATTGGCTTTTAAAGACAGAGGTCTTGACTATTTATCTTCATAGTGCCCAGAATTCCTACCCTAATGTCTTACCTTGGGTTATTAAATAAACTTGAATATGAAATTATTTCATCATATTTTTTCAAGGTCATTTTACCAGGCAAAAATAGAGCTAAGGAAAATGTAACTAATGTCTACAAATTTCTAATTGTTGGACTTAGTCTGAATCTCAGAATAGTGGCATTGAAGCTTTTAAATTGGAGTAAATGGAAAGTAGATTAGACCAAGCACATAGGAACACCATGTACAGAACAGCTGTACTGTGTCCTCAATGGGATAAGCTAAATCATAATTACAGATATGTTTCATCTTTCTTGGCTTTACACTCTTTTTGAAGATGCTCTCAACTCCAGTGCTTTGGGGATTTATTTGTCACTCTAAGTCTGAAATTAGTTTGATTAGTTTTGCTGATATCTATCATTTCAAAATGTTTGAAATCTGCCTTAAAAGTGAGCTGGCAAAATCTTAGGGCAGTACTTCTTAAGATTCCCACATAGAAGTGGTTGAGTATGTAAATGAGTCATTGAAACTCAGTTTCAAAAAGTTAATTTAAAATAAATTATTCTCTTAGATATAAGAGGGACCTCTTTGTTTATTTTTTAAAATTTCTCCTTATTTCTTCATGCCATTTTTTCTCTTCTCTTCTGGTTTTCCTTATATGTTCTCAGAATTTATCATCGCTATCGTCTGCTCAATCTGGGTTTGTTTAAAGATGTTTTTATGAAGCTTATACTATGTGTATAGAACTTTGCTATGCATGAAAAACCTGACTGCCAAGAGATTTATTTAAACTTAATAAATTTTATGAAGCTAGTGCTCACTGCTGTACCAGGAACCATGTTATTTCCTCAGACTATAAAGATAAGTAAGACAGCATGTCTACCTTTGAATAGATTACAGCAGATAGCTAGAGAGAACAATCTTTGAACAATGCTTTTTTGTAGTTGTGATAGAGCAATGTATAAAAAATGAAAATGTCATTGAGAGAGAAATTAGTTGTGCAAGGGAATTTTTTTTAAAAAGCCTCAGAATTGCTAATATGGGAATTCAAAGAAGAGGGAAAATGTAGAGAAAATGCACATGTAGGGAATATTGCAAATCTGTTTCCTGGAAAGCAGGACGCCTTCATTTAGAAGTATTAGTTAAGATCAACTGTTCTTTAAATTGAGAGATTACATCTTTCCCAGTTTTTCATTACATGGTCAGCTTTCACTGGCCCGAGTTCACACTTTAGGCTCAACTATATACAAACAATTTTTTGGTGTACTGAGATTAGAATGAATGAAACCAATCTGGTGGAGAGCAGTCACAGAATGAGAATAGATCTTTCCCATAATATTACTATGTGACTAACTGTACCGATGTGTTATAGGGAACACTATAAAAGCAAACCAGGGGAAAACTTTACTACTTTTCTACTTTATCTGATCTTTATCACAGTTTCTCTACCTGTCAAGTTCCTATGTGTGCCTCAAGTATACATATTTTTAATCTGAAATGTGAAAAGTATTTCTAACTGGTATAATATCAATGTTCTATTATATATCGATGTAGTAATGTCTTTAATTTTTACCAGAAAATTAAATGAAGTAGCTCAGTAACAGAACAGTGAACTTTAAGTGAAGCAGCTCAATAACAGAACAGTGAACCTAGCTGACCCCACTTTACTAAAGCGAACGTATTCCTGCACAGGTATCTATCATGACATTTACTCTGCACGCTTAATATACATGAAGATCAAAATAGTCACTTTTACGAAAGTAGATTTGCATCCAATAATCTTTCTCACCAGTGTAGTTAGAGAGGATACAGCTTAATATACAGCTTTGGAGCAGGTTTTTAAAACTATCATTATGCTTTAGTTGAGAGGGTAAAATGAAGAATGTACAGTTAATATTTCCCTTACGCAGACATGAACACAGCTCATAAATTTGAAAGATACCTGTGTTGCTGACACATCTCTTTATTTGCAGGAGAATGTTGAAGGAGGAGACTGTAGTCGTTGCAAACCTGGCTTCTTCAATTTGCAAGAGGATAATTGGAAAGGCTGTGATGAGTGTTTCTGTTCAGGGGTTTCAAACAGATGTCAGAGTTCCTACTGGACCTATGGCAAAGTAAGCAAGCACCATTTGCTTCTGTTTGCTTGTCCATCAGCCTTCTTTGTTGCTGTCATTGTTCTTTTGTGGAATTTTTTTTTTTCTGATAGTGAACTTCTACATAAAGTTACATGAAGAAATAATGAAATTGTATTCAAATACTTTTGTGTATTTTTACTCAAAGCCTTTGAGGTTGTATTTGTAATACTGCTGGAATTTCTTAGAATAGGTAGACATAGTCTTTTCAGTTTCTATGATTACTATATGAAATAATAATGCAATTAAAGTTTCAACTCCAAGGGTGCATGATTGAACAGAGAAAACATGACATTGTGATGTGAATTTTATTTTCCATTTACCAGTATTTTTGTACGCAAGTTGAGAAAAACGCTTTATCATCTATATACATAATACGTATTATCCACCAGCTTAGTTACTATTTGATGTTGCCTAGGCTATTTCATTATTAAAAAGGGAACATTAAATACAGGCAATACCTTCATTCATAGTTGGTTTGAAAAATTATTACTTAAACTATTTAATTGCAATTAGAATTTTGTTTCTTTAACATAAATGTGTTTACCTTTCTGCTTTCACTGCCTATACTACCCAATGCCTTTTCAACTCTATACAGAGAGCATTTCGTCTCCCTACAGAAGAGCGTCAAAGGAAAATGGGACCTTCTGGGAATTTCATACAGCCTATATGGCTGGATGTGAGAGTGCAGAATGGTAGGAAATGGACTGGAGAGAGAGAAGTCTAGAGGGGGAATGAGAAACTAGAACTTACAGGCTTGAATATGCTAAGAATTTGAGATCTTTTACTTGGAGTGTCATTGAAGAATTTTAAGTTGAGGACTGACATAATCAGTTTTGTGTTTTATAAAGACTACTATTTAGACAAACTATTACCTAAACACTTCTTCCTTTCAACTTTAATCAGCGAGCTAATCCTAAACAGAGCTATCTCATATTTTCTCTGCCTGCAGTGCTTTTAAGTCAAGCCTAATATGAAATATTATCTATAGTTTATCAAATATATTGCTTTCAGAGCAGACTTCAAAGAATCAACCACAAATGGACATCTAGTCTAACTTCCTCATTTTGTTTATAAAGTCTCACCCCACCCTCCAGACTGCTCCACTGATAGATCACAGTTTCATAGCCAGTCAAGGGACAGAGCTGGTACTCAAGCTTTGATCATCAGATGCCAGAGACACAGAGTCCCACTCAACTGTCTGAGAATGCCTCAAGGGTGATGTTAGAAGGGAAGAAGAGCAAGGAATATATTACTTATTGTCCATGGAGGTCAACAGGTTGTACCTGGTTTCTATTTCTTGTTTGACCAAGGGAATCTCAGTGATTTCACAGCTTTGGAATAAGCAGAGTCAAGTAATCTATGAAGAAAATTTTTTAAATATTTCAGCCACGTAGTGTCACCCATAGCATTCTTCTTCCCATGACCGACAACATGAAGCAGCTCATGCATGTCTGGTAGGTTCCTGGTAGCTGGTAGCCTAAGCCCTCAGTAATCAGTGTTTTGTCCTGACTAGGGAGGATGCTTTAAATTAGACATGTAGCTGTAGGCCTGACCTTGGCTGGAGCATAGAGATATAAAAACAAATCATTATGCATTTTCTGATTCCTCCTTTAAGGTTTCTTTCCATTTCTGGGCCAGGGATCTAGGCTGTGGATCCCCACAGCACTTCTGATCCTATTTGAAGGAATGCATACAGTATTGCCAGATGTTGTCATAGCAACAAGCTGTTGGGTTCAAATATCCTTACGCCTCAAAGTAGAAATTTTAAAAAGTGGCAGGGGTGGAAATACTGAATGAAAAACCACCTTTCAAGTACTTACATAGTTTCTCTTTTTCCTCGGCATTACTAATACATATGCAACACTTTTTCAAGTCTTTTTATCTAAGAGCAATAAGAAATTACTAGTGGAGTGAAAAATATGGAACTGAAAGGCTGTTTGATTAAGTGTATGTTACAACCATTGTATGACTTTGAGTGAATTCCTATTTTTAAGAAAGTGATATTTGGAACCATCTTTTTTAAAAAGCATAGGTTTAATGAAAACAGATTATTATAGAATACCTTGGAAACACCTAGAAACATCAAGGAAAAAAAAATAAGCAATGGAAACCTAAGTGAGTACGTATATCTAATGATATTCGTAACGCTCATGATTTTTTGAGTTTTGTTTTGTTTTGTTTTGTTTTGATGGAGTCTTGTTCTGTTGCCCAGGCTGGAGTGCGGTGGCAAAATCTCTGCTTACTGCAACCTCCACCTCCCAGATCCAAGCAGTTCTCCTGCCTCAGCCTCCCAAGTAGCTGGGATTACAGGCGTGCACCACCACACCTGGCTGATTATTTTGTATTTTGATTAGAGACAGGTTTCACTATATTGGCCAGGCTTGTTTCAAACTCATGACCTCAAGTGATCCACCTGCCTCGACCTCCCAAAGTGCCAAGATTACAGGTGTGAGCCACCTTAACCCAGCATGTTTTTTCTAAATATTCCTAGTTTTTGTTTGTTTGTTTGTTTTTATTTTCTGTTAATTTCCAAAAGCGGACATGGCCAGGACTAGGAAAGAGCAAAGCTGATAGGGGTTTTTTTGTTTGTTTGGTTGGTTGGTTGTTTTTTTTGTTTTGTTTTGTTTTGTTTTTAATTAATGATGACTGTGTGTTTTCTCTAAGATACAAGATATGAGTGGCTGGTATCTGACTGACCTTTCTGGCCGCATTCGAGTGGCTCCTCGGTGGGATGACTCGGACTCACCCCAGCAGATCAGTATCAGTAACGTGGAGGCCCGGCAAGCCCTGCCGCATGGCTACTACTGGAATGCACCGGCTCCCTATCTGGGAAACAAAGTAAGTCCACACTTGCTTCCCGCTATTCTGCTTTAACTGACTGATCGTGAGAATGAGTTTTAGTTGGTAATTCGTTTGAAGAAAGATGAAATCAAATTACACACAGTATTGGATTGCTAGAGCCAGCTAAATCACATGGAGCTGGGGTTTTCCCCCATGTTACACAAGATCTTAACCAGCCAGGGCATCCCTAGTATGCAACTTTGTAGAGTTGATGTTCTGTGTAAACTTTTTGAATGGGCAAATAAATTAATGAAGCTTCTAGGGTATTTTCATAAAGCAAATTATAGCTATTGGAAGAGACTGTGTTGTGTTTATGTGGAAAGAGCTGTTTTCTGGAGTTGTCTGTGGTGGGATACTTACTGAAGTTTTCTCATCTGTTTCTATTTGATTTCAAACTTGATACTCAAGAGATTTACTTTTCCTTCTACCTGATATGAATGGTAATTGGAAAAACAAATGGATTACATAACTAATTAAATGCTTGCCACGAGGCTTATGTAAACAACACATTTCCTGGAGCTCAGACAGAACTACCCTAAAAGTGCCAGATTGGAAGCACATGTTTGTTTTAAAGCCCACACATATGTAAATACATACACAGATAAACAAATGTAGCAGCCTCAGAAATACAGGCCGGTTTTTTTTTTTTTTTTTTTTTTTTTTTTTTTTTTTTTTTTTTTCTATTGTGGATTAAATCTATCTAGATAGATATAATGGGGTTTAGAATTTTGTTTTATCTCACCTAATACTTTGTTGGAAACAAAATTTGGTGGCTTATTTATAAATGTGAATACTTGCTTGCTCTGTGAAAGTTAATACCTTCTGAACTGATAGTTAAAATAACTAATCACTCCAGAAGCTGTGATGGAAAAATTTCTTCATGAATTGATGCTGTTTAAGCCTAGTTTACACCTTAAAAATATAGCATTACTTATGAAGAACTCATCATTGATTAAACAAATAAAAGTATATTTATAGTCCATGGTTTTCTTGCATGTCATGTGAGTATTGAAATAGAAAAACTTAGTATCTAATATACTACTCAGTGAATGGGAATTGGTGGTGTTGGCTGACTGAAACATTTTTAACTCATGGCCAGTTTCTTAACAGGCTTCTAAAGGCTATTACAAAAAATGTGTAAATGTCTAAAACACATTTTCAATGAACTTATTTTAAGAGACAGCATATGTTGTATAAAATTCAATAGCTGTAAAAAAAATCTAATTAAACTTTTATTTGCAAGGCTCTTTACAGGAAGTAGTCATTTTATCCTATTCTATTTAGGAAACTCTGGTAATCCCCAAAAAAACAAAATAGCGCATAAGACTTGAATTTTTCTGCTTAAAATTGCCAAAGAATAAAAATAAAAATAAAAATATACTGTCAATTAAAAAAAAAAAAAACCACTCTGAGGAGCTCCAAGAAGAGTTTTAGGTCAAAACTGGATGAATTTCAGAGGTCATATGTCTTATATGATGGCAAACTTATTTAAAGTAGCTTAAATAGAAATATTCTTTACCATATTTTCCATCCTTTCTTCTTTGGTCATATGCATTTTCTTTCTGTTGGCTGACAATCAAACTGACAGAAGGAAAGCAAGCAAATGGAATATTTGATAGAATCAGAACAAAGAATTTGGACATCCCATTAGTAGTCGTCAGTTCCCGAAGATAACTTCCCTTCTCCTGGCTGAACTGTTTCTTTCTTATAAGCCACAATGAAGCGCTTTATATTCCCCTACCAATCATTTTCACATCAAAACGCTGTTCCTGCCTGTGCTCCAGTTTCCATTCAGTGAACAAAATAATGGTAACAGGGTGTGCAAATTGTTTGAATATGGAGGACATTTTTAAATGTAATGTGGAAGCCCTTGGTGGTTTACTGTCAGGCATCTCGGTATGAATGAAACAATTTGCCTTAATAACTGAAACATATAAATTTTTGATACTACAATAATACTGCAAGCTCTTAGAAATTACCACAGTACATCTTAGCTGTCAAGTCACATCACGTAAATTATAGTCATGATGACATGCTGAGCTTGGTTGATTTACTATCTTGCTAAGAAAATGGAAAATTGTAGGCCCTTGTTTGCAAATTCAATAAAGCCACTTTTCTAAATAGTGGTGGCTAAATTCTTTACCAGTAATTGCTGTTAGAATCAGAACCATTGCCAGAATCTGACAGAAATAGCATATCAAGATAGAAGTGCATCTACTTAAATATTGAATTTTATTTATATCCATTACAAGGAGGCTGTGGTACATAATCCTTTCCTCTGTTTTTTTAGTGTTATTTCCTAATTGGAAAAATAATTATGGGATGCTATTAGCTGTTTCTCAATATTTATAGTAAGACTTTCAAACATTTTCCAAGTCGCTTGGTTATAAGGCTTCTTCTAACAGAAGGGAGATATGCTGTGATGATCTCTTATAATGGAGATGCCACATGCTATTTTTCTTTTTTTTAGGAGCCTAATCCCAAATAATAAAAGTGTGCTTACATGGGACACATTTTTGCTAACATCGATGTCTGCCTGGTTGTAATAAAACTCAAGAATACTAGCCAATTTAGCAAAGGAGTACTTTGTATCCTGTGAAATGTTTTTCACAATTTTACTCTTTTGGAATAATGAAGTATAAATAAATGATTATAAGTGTATGTGTGGATAATGGATGAGGCCTAGGGAAACTTAGCATGTTTTTATACTTTCCGTTTTTGAAATTCTCACAATTCTCAACTAGAAATTATTCCTCAATTTTTTCCCCTGTGTACTAGTGAATATTTGGCACAATTGGCAATATCAAGTGTTAATTTTCTTGCCGTATTCTAGATAGTCAAAGAGAATTAAATCAGGCACCCACAGGGCTATCTTAGGTACATTTCATTTTCAAAATGCCTGGCAAATGTTAATGCTTGGTTTTAGGGCATTCATTTAAGCAACCAGGCAGCAGTGGAAAGAGCTAGAGGACAAAGAATCCTGCTGGTTTGCTACAGGCTACAGCTATTTAGAAGCAGTTTGGGAATTTCAGAGTTGGGATAATTTACTGCCTTAGTAAACCAAGTGCTACTGGAACATTGAAACAGTCATTTACTTAAGGTTACCCTAGTGGTCTGAAATAGATAATGCAGCTTCCAAAAGCAATTCTCTGCATCTGTAAAGTTCTGAGAGCAGCTAGCTTGGCTTGTCTACTGTTCCTGCATTACCATTAAGGTTTGAAATTCTGTCCCTGAACATTATTAAACTTATGTGATTTGTTCTTTACCAAAACATGCTTATTTTCTACAGCCTTATGCTGTCTTTCTGTTTCTAGCTTAGAGAAGCCTTTAAATTTTTTCATATAGTTGTCAATACCTATAGCCTAGTTTAAGATGCACATTAGGAGAGTCTGGTGATACAATAGCATCTGGATTCTAAAAGTAATCTCTGGTAAACTCTTTTGTTGTTCTTGCTTGACTTTCAGTTTTACTTCACAGATCTCAAATTAAAGCTGTAGATTTAAAGAAGGAAATTGATATTTGAGATTTACAGGACAGGGTAGATCGTAGCACATAAAAGGAGCTGAACAAGTATTTTGTAATTGATGCTACATACTTAATGCAAACAAACAAAATTCTAGGAAATTGTTTTGATTAGGTTGCTCAGAAATGCCCATTGAGTTGGATTTGTGTGAGTTGAAAGACAAATTCTGTATTGCTTTAAAAAATAATCAAAAACTCACTAACGAATATGTTCCACTCTCCTTTGAGCAGCATAATTTGTATTTGTGACTTCTTTGCTCCATAGTCCTCAAAATTATTCAAAAGTGGAACTCAAATCCCTTCTCCCCATTCATAAATTCCTCCTATTTAAATATTGGATTAAATGGATTAGTTAAGAAGATCATCATGCAAGTAAAGAATGGCATGGTTATAAAAGTAAATAGGATAAATCAACTGTGGTTGTTTTTTATTCTATAAATCAGATCCCTTCGAGACTGATTTGGCAATGGAGTAGAACCAGGAAGAAGATTTGTTGCCTAGAATAAACTGAATTTGTAAACAAAAATTAAGTTCTAAGCCCCCTGACTGAATTGCCCCCCTCTTGACCAAGGGATTCCCAAAGAAACCTGAAAATCATGGGAAGGGACGGTTACACATTCCTCATTATACCCTGCTCCCGTTAGAGTTTAGACACAACAGACCAACAGTAACATTAAAACAGAGATTTCAAACTGACTAGACAGACTCTTTATAGCAACAAGATACCAAATCACAACTTCACTCTGATATAGCATAACATAACAGATAGCAGGCCCTAAAAGAAATCAAAGCATTTTATACCAAAATATATTTATTTGACATATTTTGAAATGATCTTGCAAAGCTGTCTCTTGGAGAAAATTGCATCCTATAGAGAATCTCCTTCTTTTACTCAGTCTTTTCTGGAGAGTCTGACACCTTTTAAGACCTGGTAAGAGACATTCACCATCAACCTGCTACTTTTGCCTACTACCTGGAAACAAGGAGCATGGCTTCCACAACCCACCCCCATTTCTTAACCCAAGCTGACTTCAACTATTCAGACAGAGTTTAACTCTTTCAACCAATGGCCAATCAGAAAATCTTTGAATCAGTCAATGATTTGGAAACCCCCAACTCTCTTCAAGATGTCCTACCCTTCTGGGCCAAACCAATGTATACTTTACGTGTACTGGTATAAGTCCTTGCCTGTTACTTTTGTCTCCTTAAAATATATAAAGCCAAGCTGTAACCCAATCATCTTGGGCACAAATTCTCAGGACCTCCTGAGGCTGTGTCACAGGCCATGGTCCTTAACCTTGTCAAATAAACCTCTAAATTGATGGATCCCTGTCTCAGATACTTTTTGGTTTATAAATTGTTAAGGATAAATGATAAAATTAGTATTAAAAAATGAAAAACATCAAGGACTGATTTATTTTCCATAGCTATGATAGAATCTGCTATGTAAAAGTAGCACAAATACAAGAGCTCAA